GGGTTGCGGTTTCGGGGTTTGTTTGTTTTTTCTATTATCCTACTCGGTCAAAATTGAAGCCAAGGCTTATCACACCACTATCTACGCAAACCAGCTTTTTACATCACGTTTACGTTACCCCTTCGTCAAGTTTTTTTCCCCTCCAACCAGACTAATTCTGAACACAAGAGCCCATTTGCAAAGTCTTAAACCAGGCGCAATATCCCTGCTATTATACTCAAACAGTCGAACTGTCCAAGACGGCACGCATTATCGAGAGGAAAGTGGTTATCTTAGCCCAGTGACGTCTTAGGCTGTGTCATCATAATATTTTCAAAATCTCAAGGACATTGGGGAAGGGGAGGGGGGGAGCTGGAACTGGCCATTTGTTCCGGAGATTATCTTGGACATGTGGCCGTTAAAGCAGGTTGACTATACTATAGCTTTTTCACTTTCGTCTGACTGTAAACAAGGTAAAATAAAAACTGCTCTGTTAAATCTCCTCAGATCTTTGCATACGGGACGAAAAGTTGGATAGCCAACAGAATCTAAAAGTAAAAGCCCTTTCATAAAGGTCACTGCCAACGTAGGATCCAACACGTTTTCTTTCACTTTCAGGTAAGCCTAAAGCAGATCAACATAATGATAGGGGATTTACAAGAAATACCAGAAACATTTAAATATTTTCCTCAACACCACTCCGTGACGCTCGTCCAAGAAACACGATTCAAGAGACGGGGTGAGTAATTCTCGAGACTCACGTGGAGCACGTGGAGACGTCAAGATAGCTGGAAGATGAAATCGACAAGCTTACACTGAAATTTAGGGGCAGGACGGTTTCGCAGTCCAGTCAAAATAAGCAATTTGTATGCAAGCTTACTGCAAGTCATTTGTTTTAGTGATCCTATGTTTGCCTCAAAAGAGCGGTTTTTAATACTGGGCCCAAAAAGAAAAACTTATATTTTTATTATTGGATCAAGATTTTTCGGGGAAAAAAACATTTTGCTTGGACGCTGGTGCAGAAGTACCATGCAAAGTTTCCTGGACATAGTTGAATTGGTCGCTTTTAAGGACAAGCGGTCTAACCTAGATTTCGGGGGTTCCCAGAAATCTTGACCTACATCAACAGAGGGCATTTCCCCACCTATACGAGAAGTTTGGTTTCATTGGTGTGTAGATCTATATGTGTTTGGTTATATAGAAAACTCCCCATGTCTTTTAAAGAAACTGAACAAGGGGCTTAAACTTTACCTTCGATTTTCTCAAAACATATTTTTTAGGGATAGCCCCCTTGTGCTTAAAAGCGACCAAATGAGCTAGAATGTTTAAGCCCCGGTCAGACGAAAGTGCGCGAGCAACAACTTTCACCCACTAAGTGTCCAACCAGTGCCGGATTAACCATTAGGCAAATAAGGCAATTGCCTTGGGGCCACTCAAAAAATAGGCCACAAATAGAGCCAGAGACAGGGTGCAACAAGGTCACATTTTTTCGGTTTTTTCCCCCGTTTTGATCAGGCCGCAGCAAGGCCAGTCAGGAAGGCCACAACTAGAATAGTCCTAAGCTAGCCCAAGCCAGAGTCCGACTGGGTTTTTAGTCCCTGGCCTAGTTCAGAAAGTGCTGTGACATATTGTTTAGCCTCTCTCTAGGCCACAATTATTTTCGAAAATTATATTGAATATAACATAATATTTGGGTTCCAAATCAAACACCTTTGGCCTCTAAAGTCACCAGATACCTGGCAACCCAGATAACAGTTCCAAAGTTGTGGCCCTGCTGGAATCAAAAGCCTGCGAATGCCACATTTCTAGCCTAATTTATGCCAATTCAATTTTTTTAAAGTGCACACGAGGTGAAAGGCGAACTGTGCTTACAAAACCCCCGATATAAATAAAAATCAAGGTAGGCTATCTGTATAATAATTCAGACATGTATTATTAGGCCTAGATCTAGATATTGTAAGCAAGGGAAGGGACAGGAAG